TAGATGTAATGCAATTTGTCCTATAATGTTGGGGTGAGTTTTTATACCTATGAAATTTCTGTAGCTTCTTGTTGAGTAGTGGTGTGTAAATACAAGAACATCTTGAAGATTTCATCTATGTGAGCATAAAAGTGGGGCGCTTTATGCAGAACGAGCAGTCATTCTTAATATGCTCATGAAACTGGGATAAGGCCAAGGCCGTAATATCTGGCTATTAAAGCTCATGTCCCCTGGAATTATGTGTGAGCGTATTACTTTAATTTCCCTAAGATGTCATAGTCCAAGTCTGAGACACTTACTGACTTGGAGTAAGGTTCTGTTTCACTAATGAAGGTTCAGTGCCAGAGCACACTTTCATGATTGCATACTATCTATTTTTTGTTTTGGTAATCTCTCTTGTCTTGTTGATTTAAAAGAGTGGGGGATGTTTGGACCATTTTAATATCTTTATTTATTTAATTTATTATATTTTGTTCATGAATCTCTTTTGTTCTTGTTCATAAATGGGATTCATTATTTGGTACTTTTGGTCTTATTCATGCTAATGGAGCTTAAATTGGAGATTCATGGACTTGGTAATGAGTTAATATTTGAAGACTATCCTTGTCCTCTAGTGTTAATAGTCATTATTATTTTTGGTGTAAATTGTACCCCCCAGGTCCTAATGGCCTGATCAATAGGTTTCCTTTCATCTATTTCTTTTTTACACCAAATATTGTTTTATACTTGAGAGATTACTAGCAAGAAGGGTGTTTTTTTTCCTTTGTGGAGTTTTGGGTTTCACCGTATTGCATGAGTTGGCCCTGAACATACGTATGAAGTGATCGAGTTGTTATAATCCTGGAGGGGACAATTCAAGTTTTTGTGACTGCTGCTTCGGTTTTGGGTTTTCCTACTGATTGGATTTTGATCTCTTAAAGATAAACGAGAATAGTCTGTGCCTACAGCCTGATCTTATTTGTATCTGCATTTCTTTCGCATTATTTTAATAAAAATATAGTTCTTCTGGTCAATTTTCACCAGAGTATATATATGTTATGAAGAAAAGCGCTTTGGACTGGACTAAAAGAATTTGGAACTTAGAGAGGTAATGTGATGTGGAGAGGGATTGCAAGGTGAGAGTTGAAAATCATTCAATTATGGTTTGTTTGGTTGCTTTAGAAATGTGCGAGAAAAGAAGGAAGTTACAGTTAATTTGTTTCCTTTACGTTTTGCTTTCGAAGTTTTGCTATTGTGTGAGCAAAGAAGCTTAGGTATTGCAATGTAGTTGGGTTCCTAATTTTTGATTGTTGAGATTTGCTAGAAAAATATGAGAAATTTATTAGTAGCCTTTAATTGAATTTTTTTCTTGTTGTTGGTTTTTTTCTTCTTCTAATTTTATTAAGTTTTAGATTGTATTTAAGTTTTCATGTGAAGTCTAAAAGAGCTTTAAAAAATGTGTCTAAAATCTATCTAATTATCCTCAAATCTATAACCAAACACAATCTTAATCATTTGTCTTTCACCGACTTCTTTTCAATTCTTAATTTTTGCTTTTGATTGTTTATATTATGGATATATACCTAAAGCAAAGCAAAATGGGGCGGGATGTTTAGGGGCAACAGAAAACCGAGTCCCCTTGATGGGGTAGGGGTGGAATTAAAGAAATGTTGGTCTCGCATTGGAGATTGGTATGGGGATGGGAAAAAATAAAATTGGAGATTAAGGGATGGGGAGGGGTAAAACCCACCTTCCCACCCATTGCCATCCCATTTCGATTCCCTCGCTCTATTTTGCCCTACTAGAGCTACGCAGTTGTTGTCCCGATTATGTTCTTATAGATATTGTATAACGTATATAGAATTAAAATTTTAATATTAAAATATAATAAACAAAACTTAACCTTGACATACATTACGTTTAGCTTATTTATTTTTTTCTTACATTTTTGTTTTTTACCTTTTAGCATTTTATAAATGATTAGCATCAATATATCACGATTACTCCTATTTTTTTAGCACATCATCCTAAATTACCAAATTAATCCTTCTTATTTTCGCTACTCCTAATTGGAGCACTAAAACTCACCCCGTCTGCGCATTGCCGATCTCTGTCGGCTTGTTTTTTGCATGCTTCCACGTTTAATCCGACAGACTAATAAAATTGCGGCCTAATTTGAGAAGACAAACTTTCAGCTTTTATACAAGAATAGTCAAAAATTTAAAACCTTATAAGAACTTTTAAACGCCCTTTCAGCTTTATAACAGAGAATGTTCAAAAATTTTAAACTTGATTAAATCTTTTGAACAAAGCCATTAGTTTTATAGCAAGAATGTCAAAATTTAAAACTTGTAAATACAAAAGGTAATTGATGACATCCACTAAAGTGGTGCTCTAAAGCACCACTATGTTGGCAAGCACTATAACCAAAAAAAAAAAAAAACACAAGACCAAGCGTGGGTCCCGTTCCATTGCACACTCATAGGGTGCTTTTAAGAGCACTACTTTTAATGTGTCTAAGCATTATTGATAAGAAATACTACCATAGTAGGTATGAATATATGAATTTTAATTTAGTATTGTTGCCCGTCCCATTGTATTTTTATATGGTTTGCAAAAAAATTAATGTTGAGACTGATTCAACCCAATTACTATAATGTGGTGTTTATGACTTGATTTAAGTTGCCTTTATTTAATTTGGACTCAGTCCTCTGATTGTAACTTTTATTTCAATCATCCCAACTCTATTCTAATCAATTAGCAGGTAGTCGTACACATTTGAAAGACAAATAAATAAAGATGAAAGAAGAGCCGGTATTAAGTTTTTTCGACTTGCTAAGATCATTATTTGAAAAAAGATAAAATACGGAAAAAAAGCAAAATGAATGATCAATATTCTTTAACAATATGCTATCTAAATTCATATTATACTATATAGTAGATTCTTTTAACCTTACATGAAATCGATAAATAGATAAAAAAAAACATATGATCT